AAAAAACGTAATAGATGAAAAATCCTTGGTCTCTGGACAATGTTACCTTTAGAATTAATGCCACAATTTGATGAAGGGCATTCTCTGCATCACAGAATGTGTTGTCATTATCCTTTGAACTGATTATGATAACTCTTTCTTCATGTCTCTTCACAAGTAGAAAACAAACGGTGACATAGTAAGTTCAAGAAATAACAATAAATCTATAATCCTAAAAAAGAGTAATAAGAAAATGAGGAAGAAGAAGTAAGTACAACACAGAAAATCAAGCAAGGTGAGGGTCAGCCAGAAGGCCAGATACCAGCACCTTTGAATCTTTTTAACAGAAACTCAAGGGGAAATTGCTTAACGTGGAAATGCAAAAATATTTTTCACATGCAAGATTTATGGTGCCATACTACTGCTGATTTATGCCACCAACCTAGGCGCTGGGACACTCCTAAAAATGTGAAGTATGTTTGTCAGAAAAAAGCAGGGGATACACATTAAAAGTGTGTTTCTCCTTTAAAATGGGGAGACAGTTGTACATGACGGGGATACTTCAGAGACATAGCCAAGGCCGTCAACTTGTAGAGTAGACGATTTCACGATCCAGAATGGTCCCTTCCAGAAAATTCTTTTTTCTTTTTAAGTAGATACGGACTTCAGTGGTGCATATGATGTTATTTATTTTCTTTTAATATATCATATTTACACAATTTCATCTTTCTAATAAATGAGGCAGCTCAAAGAAGAAATAAGTTTGGGACAGAGGAAATATGTGCATATGATGTTAAAATGGTTAAACCTCATCATTTTTTGAAAGATTCTCTGCAACAGGTGAGTCAATGGATGCATCTTAAGAGTTCCTCCAATTAAGAATGTTTAGCATTATCATGGTGTTTAAAAGATGGCTCTCTGCCGAAAGAGAGATAGATCATATTATCATAGAAGTAGTGTATAATGGGCTAATAGAAAATGGAGGAGATACAGTCAATAGATGAAACAATTAGGTGTTACGGAATAAAAAGTTAATACTCCATTTTTCTTTTGGTACATCCATTTTTCTTTTGGTACAGGTAGACACATGGATTAGTAATTAGCAAATAGAGGTTAAAGCTTAGAAAGGATTATGTTTTTTGTTCAGTTGCAAACCCTAATGTGCTAACTATGCAGCACAAGCAATTCTTCAATAAATGGACAGCACCTTCGCAAAGAAGCCTGAATGGACAAGGGTGCAAGATGTGGGTTCTTGATTTTAACTGATGGCTGTGACTTGATATGATATTCTCAATCATGAAAGTCATAACTCGCAATCAACAGACACCTTTTTTTCATTTCTCCTACCCCTAAAGTTATTGCAATAACCTAGCATACCATCAAGGTCAGTAGTAAATTACAAGAACAGGTCACACAACAAGTGTCAAATTCTTCCGTGGTCCTAGAAGAACAACTCCACACAAGTTGATGTCTAAAATTTTTTACAGTTTTATGGTTTAAATAGTTGCAGAGAGTGTGTCATTCCCATTAACAATGTTCACAATGCCAACATTGACCTCCCGGCATATAAGAGGCAGAATATGTTCGAAATATAAGCTGCTGTTAATATCATCACTAAATTTACCAAACTAAGCTTACTATAAATAAATTTACTGAAATCCAAACTGCAGTAAAACGTAAGGCTTACTGCTACCCTCGCGATCCTTCCTAGTTCTCACACTTCCTATCATTCTCATATCTAGTACAAAACGGAATCATCATACTTACAGAAATGGAGTCGGCAATCTTAATCGTCGCCTTGGTCTCTTCTCGGATCTTCTGGATTCGATGCCCCTCTTTACCGATAACCTTCCCGATCTGCTTCGACGGGACGATGATGCGGTACACAATATCAAGGGATGCCTTCACGCGCTTTTTCAGCGGCCGCGTGACGACAGCGGATGTGCCAGCCTCGGCGGCATCCTCCTCCCGAGGACGTTTGGAGGTTGACGACCGGTACGGGACGTCCTCCGTCGTGTGAGGCGGTTGTGGAGCCTCTTGTTGAGAAGGGTTAGGGTTTATGCCGGTCTCTGTTGGCTGAGCTTCTGGAGCCATTGGTAACGGGGCGGTCTTGATAGAAAGAAAGAGAAACAACTGACTATGTTATTTTATACGGAGTATGTAAATTAGTATATATATATACTCCATCCGTTAAACAATACTAAGTACTCCCTCAGTCCGGAAATATTCTTCTCATTTGACTTTTCTTGGTCAAAGTTTGTAAACTTTGACTAAGATATGTGGAAAAAATACATTGTATTAGGATATAACTTTAATATAAATATATTCATTTTAAAATATAGTTTTCAAATATCAAATTTTTATAAAATCTATCCATGTATAAATAAAGATATTAGCGGTCAAAGTGTAATCTTTGAGACCGTAAAAAGTCAAATGGGAAGAAAATTTCTGGACGGAGGGAGTAATATTTTTGTTGCATGTTACATCAGTCCGGATTTTAAGTTCCTACTCTACGCTTTTCTCCGTCCGGAAATAAAGTTCCTATTATACGTTTTCTAACCCACTCTTCCTAAAATACCCTTCCCCCCTTCTTTCTTCTTCCTTTTTCTTTCTCCCTTCATTTTCAATTCCTAATCCCTTATCTCTTTTTCTTTCTTTTTTCTCGGATCTGCACTCTTCCATTGTCCACTGGTTTATTTCTTTCTCCTCCTCCTCTTCAATCCCAATTATTTCTCCTCTTCTTTTTCTTTTCTTCTTCTCAAAATCTCCTTAGATCTACTTCTTCTTTCTCTCTTTGGTCTCCTTAGATCTACTTCTTCTTTCTTTCTCTCGTCACCTTTTCTTCTTCTTCTTCTTCTTCTCCCTAGTCAAAATCTTCAATTCACAGTCTCCCCAGATCTACACAGCAGGCCTGCGGCGGCAGGGAGGCTGACGGTGGCGGTGGCGGTGGCCCTGCGGCAGAGATGATCGGAGCAAGGGGCGGCGATTGGTGTTGGCGAAGGTAGTAGGAGAAAGGTGCGGTGTTGGGTGAGTGAAATGGTCGGTGAAGGGCAGGGCCGCAGGAGTGTTTTAGGCCATTTACACACAAAAGTCAATACCCAATAAAAATGACCAAAAGTCAAAATGGGTACTTCAAATCCGGACGGAGGGAGTACAATATTTGATTCACTTATTTTGAAATAATTTTATATGAAAACAGGTATTAAATTAAAAAAATACATATTTAAAAGTTACATGAAAAGATATACAAAATTAGAGATGACATGATTATATTATTTTATCAAATGAGCAACGAAAATAGGCTATCAAAGTGAATAAAGTTTGACTTATGAATATATATATATATATATATATATATATATATATATATATATATATAAGGAGTATATACATATATATGTGTGTGTGTGTTTTTTTTATTAATATGCAAACTCTTACATACACATAAGGTCAATGGTGGCTAAATAGTACGGAGTATTTTTTAGTATTCAAATAACCATTTTTAAATTAATAAAAAATGTGAGAAGATCCATGTGAATCATAGGTCCGCCATAGAATCACTCTTATATATAGTTCCTTGGTCCAACAATGAATATCACACTCAAAAGTTCTATATATGATAAAAACAATTTTTTTAGTTGAAAAATTTAAGAGATTGTAGATTTTAAGAATTTGATAAAAAGGACCTCATTATCTTTTTCACATTGCCTATGCCTCATAAAATATACTCGTAACAAACAACAATATTCAATTCATATCTGTAGACGAGATAGGTTTTAGGGAAGCTGAGGGTGAGCATGTTTGACCTACCAGCTGCATTTCTTAAAACAGTTTCTCTTTCATTTTTTTTTGTTTTATCTAAAACACTTCCATTTTTTTAATAAAAATCACTCTTACACATACTTTTTTCACACACTACATATCACATCATACTTTTTCACTAATAATCTATCTATCAGATCTTACTTTTACTCATCACATTAAGGGCAGTTTTGGAAATTCAACTGAAAATATTTACTCCTTATTTCTCCTAAAAGTCAAAATATTTTCTTTATCTGGAATTATAGAACCTAATCTATTTTTTAGGTCTGATTTAATCCAATTTGAATGTATTGATGTGATTCAAATTATGTTATTATTATTATAAGAGGTTCTATGGTGGATCTAAGATCCACCTAGACTTTCTCACATATTTTTTTATTCTAAAAATGCTTATTTAAACATTTAAAAATACTCATTAAACATATATGAAAGTCTTCCATAGACAGTAGGTGCATGTAATAATTTACCTATTACTATTATTATGTTACTAAAAATACTCATTAAACATATATGAAAGTCTTCTATGGACATTAGGTGCATGTAATAATTTGCTTACTATATTATTAATAAAGCCATTAAATACACATCATTTATTACAAATGTATAAATTTACCCGTGTAAAAAAGAAAATAGAAAATGTGAACTTAATTTATGAATAGATTTTTCCAACTCTTGTAAATGGGGTAAATTTAGTAGAATATAGAGTGACTTAGCAACACATTATATAGAGGGGCGCCCGGGGTGAGCGATTTCACCTTTTTGGAGAGCAACACATTATTATAATTGTTGTTGTTGTTGTTGTTGTTATTATTATTATTATTATTATTATTATTATTATTATTATTATTACTACTACTACTACTATTACTATTCTTTTTATCATTATTCCGTATTGTTACCATTGTTTTATTTTTTTCTTAGGTTTTTATTGACTTGATTACAACGTAATATCTATTCATATTGTTTCTCAACATAATGATATACGATGAACCAATGTTTTCGTCTTTGCATGTGCTAGATCCATTGTTATTATTATTACTATTTTTATTAATGTTAGTATTATTATTGTTACCGTTGTTGTTGTTATTATTATTATTACTCCGTATTATAGATGTGATCTAATTGTTTAGAATGAAATGATCTAGTTTGATTTGAAAAAAAGTAAGTATAATTAAAAAAATTAAGTTGATACCCATTGGAATCAGTCATTATACATTTATTCGTACCAGTTACCAGAGCCCAAAATGAAACTGCAAAAGGGCCTCACGGGAAGGCCTTAAGTGGGAAAATGGAAAATGAGGTGCGGCACGGCGGCGTCGCCGATCACTGGTGGTGGGCAGCTGCAAGCACCGGCCAATTAGGATGGGGAATCTCCGCTTTTAGAAGAGGCTATGCCGGCGGTTCGTATTTCATGCCATTCAAAGCATTTTTCGTTGCCTCGCTCTTCCTAGGCGCCACCGCATCCGCCGCCGTCGCATCCCTTCGCGCCTCCGGCATCCATTCTGTACTTCATCTCTCTCTCTCTCTCTCTCACATAGCGTAGATAGTCAAGATGATTTTTTGAAGAATTAACCCGTAATTTAGAAAAAAACATTTAATTTTTTAGATTTATGAGCTCTATAAACTATAAAGTTACAATTTTGCTGCTTAATTAGTGACTATGATCCTGTATTTCAACTGCTTGATCTTTAAAAAAATACATTTTTTGTGCTTAATTTGTGACTATTATGCTGAGACTCAAATTTAAGCTTCTCCGATCTCAAATCTCTCTACAGATGTCAAATAAAAAAGTCTTCAGTCCAAAAAAATTATTATTTTTGAAATCCCTAGGAGCTCGTGTAGACTGTATTAAGATTGTAGATTATTTGAACACTTAAATTTCTGTTTATTAGTTATTTACTTATTCTTATCTGTTTCGTGTCACGAGTGGTTTAGACTTTAGAACACTTGAATTTCTTTTTATTGGTTATTTTCACATGCTTTTACAATTTGGTGATTGCGAATCTAAAATTTCTGCTCCTTGCTTATTCGATGTTGTTAAAACTATTTTAAGTAGTTGAGTAGACCTTTGGGCCTAAGTTGTACTCCCTCCGTTTGGTAAAATAGTTCCTATTTTTATTTCTGCAAGATTTATTTTTGTAATTTGACCTTCCAATTACATCCTTAACGTCAAAGAAAAAAGAGAGACAACTCATTTAAATAATTTATTATATCAATGCAAGATAAATGAAGTATATTGCAATGACTTTATTTGAACATATTAGTCATTTTTTATTAAAGTGGAAGTGTTTTGTTGCAAACGTAAAGAATGAAAGAAGAACTGTTTTGAAAAAACGAAAGGAGTAGTAGTTTTTGCTTTTTTTTTATTACCTTAGTCTGTATTTTATGCATGTGTTCTTTTTGTGTTCTAGGTTTAGTTGCTTTATTTTGGCTGTGAGCTTCTTGTGTATGTGCTCTTACTTTGTTTGAGCTAGGGATCTCTTGGATAAATCCTCTCCCTTCTCTAGTAGATGTAAGATTTGCATGCATACACGCCCTCCACAGACCCTATTTTTATGGGATTTTACTAGGTTTGTTGTTGTTAAACTATATAAGCCAAAACACCCTCCCCTTATGTGCTTATTGCTTTTTTTAAGCATGTAAATATTGTAAGCCAAAAGCTAGTAATTACCTACATGTTGCCCTGCTTTTGCATATGTGTTCTATAGCACTCCCATTGTTGGACAAAGTTAGTTTTCTCTTTGTTTTACTCGTTTCGCTTGCTCATTGTGTGTCTTTTTGGCACTTTTTGAAACAGTTTCTCTACTCTTTAGGTAAGGTTTGCATACTATCTTCTCTTATTGACTCTACTTTCGAGTGCCATATAGTACAAGATACATTCAAGTTGATCATTTCAACCAATTTTTTATGCCACCAAAAAGGGCAAACATGTAACATGTCCATGACACTTTTTTCTTGGCATTAAGAACGTGCGTTTCATACAATCTTAAATCGACTTGCATTCTTTTACTCTGTAAAAGGTCCTGATTTGAGGTGCTTGTTGCAGGTAGAAGATATGAAGGCAATGGGTGCACGCATCAGAAGTGGGATTGGGGTACCCCCTAGGAGGGCACGAGACGAATGAGACGATGATTTATTTAGCCTTGTCTAGCAAGTGGGGTGCCCTAGCATGGTCTATGTACTATATATATATGGGATTTTGAACTTTTTTCCATTTTATGTCACTCAGATGCCATTTTGTCAAAGGTCAAAACAATGTGTAATGACCATGGAACAACTAGGAGTATAAATCTAAAACACCAATATTGTTGTGAACCACAAATGGCCAATGGCATTGAACCAACTAATCATGTTCACTATTTAAATACTCTGTATTGTATAGTTAAAAGGAAAACACTTGGGAAACCCTTTTCAATGCTTATATGTTAAGAGTCATTTTTTGCGATATTTTACTGGGTTTGATGTTGTTTACACCCCATATTAATTAGAGCTTTCTTGGTTATGAAAATATTATTTAATTTAGGCACAAAAAGCTAATGTAATCTATTATAGATTTAAAACTTAACACTCAAAAAAGGTAAAAATTAACCTGCAATTTTAATTTTCAACATCCAAGATCTTCTATCTAGGATCGTGGTTCTTAGTTTTGTTGCAAAAATGAAATATAATGTCTAAGTCTAACCACTTCAACTCTTCTTCTGTATACCAAGATCTTCTACTTCGTATTTTTTAAAGTTTATTTTATCTAAAAATTTAGCATAGAAATACAAAAAATATTATTTACATATTGAAAGACTACCAAAAATTCTCAAAAATAAATATTCATATGATTATTTTATTTTATCAAATAATCAATAAAAATACATAAGACAAAAATTGTTGTAACATTGATCAATAACTCTTACTTGGGGAGTGGAGACTAATTATTTTACCAAATGAGTTTAAAAATAAGAAAATGGGCAATATTTGACTCTATAAACAAGGAACATAGAAGTAGTATGTGTACAGGCTATGACAAAGATGAGATTTGATTCATTTGGACAAAAACATGAAATAATTTTTATATATTTATTTTTCGAAAAAAATAAACATTCCTAGTATTTATTTTCCAGTTTGCCTTCTCATATTCTATCTTTCCCTAGTATTTTCTGTACTCTTCCAAACAGACCCCAGGGGAGAAGAAAATCAGTCTGTCAAACCTTGTGAAAGCACCCCACCTATATATTTCATTGTCAAAGCACAAGGGATTCCAAAGATCCAAACACAAACACCACACTCATTTCACAAGAACAAAAACATGCCCATTCAAGAATTAACCCTTGTTCACGGCCCCCGGTAAAAGTAAAAAAGTTCATAACCGTAACTACTGTTCATTCATGCCGGGACATAAGACTCGAGCATGAGTTGCGTGCGCGAAGGCGAACGGATCTCGACAATCAAATAAGTGAACTTCCACTGCTTCTCCTCTTCGTTTTGGAACATCTCTGCAAATACTTTGCCAGCGCCGTGCGGACCCCGGATATAGAAGTTCACCTGCATTCAGTTTTTTCAACATTCATTCATTTTGTGTTACAACAACAACAACAATAACAAACTGTGTAAAATTCCACAAGAATTTCACATTAAATGGAATTAAACGTGTGAGTCTTTCTTTAAACTAAAGAACAAGAAGAAGTACCTCAACATGCTCAACTCCATCTTCATCAGTCCACATTCGGTGTGGAATGCGCTGACGGGCCGCACGGTTTCTACTCTCTGACCCATAGCCCGTGATAGGAGATCCAATTCTCACCCGAACCTGTTACCAATCACTTCTTAATATTAACCACTAATAGTTAAGAAAGTCAATCCCGAATCACAAATTTACCCAGCATTTTAGGGTATGTTTTTGGGACAACTGTCATAAATCACGAGTCGCAAATAGTTTTTAAAATGAATAATTACTTATTGGTATAACTTAAGTTTCTTAGTTATTGGAGTAACTTGTTTGTGTCCTTTTTGAAGGGCCTCTAGGGCACTTATGTAGTTATGTATATTAACCGTGACAAAAAGAATTCCAGTTATAAACATACCTGGCTGTCATTTTGAACTCTATCGAGAGCCTTCCCAAATATTTTGTACCTAAAGAGTCAAAATCATCTCAAACTAAATAATGATGCAAAATGAACAAAGCCCTTTGTAATAAATGGGAGTAGTACAAAATTCTTACTCCTTCGGTTGAAAGACAAGTTCCTTGAAAACAGCATATCCTGCAGCAGCAGCGACTCCTAATCCCGCAAGGATGGCAATACTGTAGGAAGCTCCCTCTGTAAATGACACTGGATTCTCTGGGATATTATATGTGGGAGCATCAAACGGATTATCATAAGTAGACACCTCCTTTCGTGCCTGTGCAATGAAAATGAGCATGATATTAAAATGCATATAAAACTATGAGCAATGTTCCTTTGACCCCTATCATGGGTGTCATAATATGGCACTTGACGATTTGAGATCCCTACAGTGCTCAATTTGACCTCAAAGTGGTTCCTATCCCCTAACTCTCCAGCCCACCCACCCCCTCCCCAGTTTTGCCATTACACTACAATATTTACCATGCTACAATATTTACTGTATCATAACAGTAAAACAGGAGGTTAGGGGCAAAGAACAACTCCAGGCCTTCAAGGTCAAGTACCATAGGGCTCTCAAATGGCACAGGTGTCATAATGGTGTCAAAAGAACCAAGTAAAAAACTATATTTAGAATTTATTGGCTTATTTTAGTAATAGTTAAACCATATCACTCATAATAATTTATTATTTTCGCTAAAACTTTTCTATGATATGTTTTGACAATATTTGCAACGGAATCATTACATCATGAGGTGCCCATTGCTCAAGGCAACATTATTTATAAATGAATTGTATGCCTGAAAGATAGAACTACAAATTCAAGATACTCTGTATGAAAGATACATAAAAGGACCTAAATGATTGAAACTATCAGGTCAACACTTCAAAATACCATGAATTCTATTTTTTTTTGTTCTTTTATTATTTTTAATAAATTATTTATTACCATGAATTGATGGATAACCTATTGTTTGGTTCCTGGAGCAGTAAAACACCCATGAATTGAAAGATAAGCTATCTTTTGATTCCTAGAGCAGTAAAACTCCTAGGGACTATTATTTAACACATGCCACACAAATGGTTTACAGATCTATAGAGAGAGAATGAAATTTGGATATTTCCCGAACTTGGAGAATTCTAATCCGTCTGCCCCCTTCTTTGAATTTACCTATGACTTCATGATACCTTGAATGCACTAGATACTCTTCTAAAGTAAATGGTGATGTTTCTATAACGAGTAGAGAAGATGACCTGATAGAAACTTAATACGTTGAGGGGAAATTCATAACTAAATGCAACCATACACAACAACAATAAACCCAGGAGAGTCCCACAAAAAGTAGGATCTGGGGGGTGATTTTACACAGACCTTACCCTAAAGAAGTGCAAATAAACAAACTATATTAATATTAAGTATTGGCAATTCGAATCTTCATGTTTTGACTTTTCAAAGCTAAATAAGTCATCCTCTACTATTATTATTCGCAGTTAACAGAAAGTTATCAAATGATAACACAATTGATTCAAGTAGAGACAAAGGTGGTACCTCTGATTGCTTTTGTCCAGATGATGACTCAGAAGCCTTTGAAGCAAACATTCTAGCAAAGTAAGGTGCTTTGAAGCTTGCATGTTTGGCATTGGCAACCTGAAATGGTGCCCGAAAGTGTGCTACATGGTTCATATTTGAACAACCTCTGGATAGTAAAGGAAGTCCTGCAGAGCATTAACACACTTAGCAGTGATCATAAATTTTAATGGGAGCTAATGAGTCGTTTGGCAATGTTTTTTTACTTTATGTTTCTGCTATTGCATTTCACTTTTATGGGGAAAGAAAAAGAAAGAAACAAAAAACGTGTTTGGAAGTAGTAGTGTTTTGGGTTTAAGCTTCTCGGAAACAAGAATTTCATGTTTTCATTGAAATAAAAAAACTGTCTGATTTTGACACCGTCGATGAAACATACTCATATAATGTTATATTTTTTTGTAATAAATAATATAATCATGTTGAATACATGTAAACATTGATTAAAAAAACAAATTCTTTGAAAACATCAACCAGGAGATGCTACGAATCAAAAGCAAATCCTTAAAAACAACGTCAATTGAATCCTTGCTCTATTTCTGAACTCGGAAGTGATGCTCAAAGATAAGAAACACATCATATCTGATCATTCACAGTAACACGTTCCAGTAGAGAAAACTGTTACCAGTGGAATAACAAAATAATTTTTTTAAAAAAGAAACTATTATGTAGAACTCGCAATGTGTGTTAACATGAAGATATGAATATTGGCTACTAACCATCACCTTCAGGCATGACCTGTAAAAATTAGAATGAATGATCAATAATCAACAATAAAAGATATTCTTGAACTAATCCATTTTACAGAATCCTACATATAAATCATATTACTTAACTTGATATTTATAGGAGCATAAATAGCAGAAATTGGGGCATAGAGTTGATAACCAACAGAAGACAGTAAAGATGTGCAAGCCTATAACATTATACTCACACCATCCCACTAAATTTGGGACAAGTGAAGGTGGCATACAGATTTAAGAAAAATGGAATTGTGTGGTTGATACTGCATAGGTAAGTTGATGATTTCAAACAACACAAATGTGACATTTATGGTAAGGGACAAACACTTTGGGATGGACCAAAATGGTGAAGTGGGATAAGCATATAGTGCGGCAGAGGAAGTATCTAACAATACGAATACATAATCCAAGGCAAAAGTTCCAACAAATGAATGGCTGATGTAAGCAGTAAGCTAAGGCAGAATTCTACTACAAAATAAAAAGTTTTAGTGATTTGAACCCGAAAGGAAAATTAAAACTATTAATTTAAGACCTACATGGTTGAAACCATCAAGCTAAGACAAGAAACATGAATTTCAATTCTTCTTTATTTTTAGAGGCCAGTTCTTTTGACACCAGTATCGGTGCCGCATTATGAAATCAAGTCATTTGGGGTACTACGGATCTCCGTGGGGCCAAGGACCAGATCCTACCCGCAAACCCAACCCCCTGCCCCCCTAGCATTTTCGCCAAAATGCTACCGTGGGGAAAATGTGGGGGCTGAGGTAGGAGGCAGGAAGGTTGGCTTTGGGGTGTGTCCTGGGGGTTAGGACCTGTCATATTGTGACGCCCCAAACAGGTTTCAAAAGAACCGGGTCTTATTTTTAATCATTTTTATGCTAATTTTAAACGAGATTTCCTTCACAAAATTTTATGAAATGAAATAAAGAATTTAATAAAAGTAATTCTAAAGAAAACGACGATATTCAAGATACATTAAGTCTTGGATGTAGAGTTTCAACTTTCAATCATTCAGGTCCTAAAACCTAAACTCAAGCTGTAGTTTTCATCATTCACAAGAGGAATCAATAGACAACCCTAACATTCATGATTTCAGGTCCTGAATTGATAAAAAGTTAAAAACTATGCAGTACTAGAATCAGCCCTAACAATGCTCGAAATTCCTGTGTTTGACTCAGTTGCAGGATCTTTGACTTGCCCTAATAGACAAATACACACTCAAATACACTGAAATACCCACAGCAGCCATCCTCTCACACACTGACACACACATTGATACTCTTTAATGTTCCTTAAGCAATGAAAAACTTAGGTTTTGTCTGAGACACAAAAAATCAATGAATCATAATCATCCCAATGGATTAAAAGACAAACAGTTAGATGAAAGTTTCATACCCTCCGTGCAGAACCTTTCGAGGAAGAAGCTTCTGATGACAGAGAAGAGAATTCGCGAATGCCCAAACCAGAAAAACTCTTAGTAGCGGCGTTCTGCAACGAATCGTTCGACTTTCTGAATGATCTCAAAGCGCTGAAGATGAATCTGCTTCTCCTTGCACTTTGCGGCATCATTCCAACCTCTATGAACACTTCAACTGATGATTTTTTTCAGGGTTTAGTCGTTCAGAGCGTATATGAGATTATGAGGTAGTTGATAACAAGAATTGAAGAAGAAGATACCGAAATGCGCTCTTGGGTATTTTTTACGGGTGGGGTTCCATAATTTTACCCCCTAACCCAGTAAACTCCTCACCCCACCCCGACCCGAACACATCTCATACCCCCGTCAATTGCACCATACAAGTTGATTCTAACTTTGGACTCAAATTGACTCCAAAGTCAAAATTAACTTGTGGGGTGCAATTGACGGGAGTAGGGGTGTGTTCGGGTCGGTGCGGGGTGGGGGATTTACCGAGGGTTGGAGGTAGGAACCGTCAATTTTACGAACGGGACACCGGAGCACTCCCGGGTCATCCTATGACATTGGAACCCAATATCACGGGAACCTTATTGATTTTTTACTAGGATGTGTGTGCAAAACCCGAACCCATTGAAAAAAATTAGGGACATGTTTGAAATAACTTTTGAAATTTAAAAGAAATGATATGAATTTCGAAATCTAAAATTTTTTTGAGAGATTTTTTTTGTAGAATCTTGGTGACATTTAAAAATACTATAATTTAATTAGTGACTGAAGAGGGTCCCTGACAACGTGGGTGGGTGACATTAGCAGTGGTAGCGACGATTGAGGGAGATATCTAAACTTTCAATTTGAAGGATTTGTGATATCTGAAGATATCGAATTCAAAATTCTTTTTTTCTCACCAAACACAAAAAAAGAATCTAAGAGAAATTCAAACTCTAAGGAGTATTTAAACCCGACCCATTTAAATAAAATTCGAACTCGAATTAAGTCATACCGTATTTAAAATAGAGAACTTATCGAGTCTAACTTGGAGCCGTTTACGCACATAACAACCATAGATCTAAGAGCTTGTTATATTCCACTAAGGGCCTGTTCTTTAGGACTTAAACTCTTAACTTCCAGTTCTTTCCTGTTTCTTCCAGTTTCTTCCAGTTCCTTCCAGTTTCTTCCAGTTCTTCCAGTTTTTTCCAGTTCCTTCCAGTTCTTTCCAGTTCCTTCTAGTTCTTTCCAGTTCCTTCCAGTTTCTTCCAGTTTTTTCCAGTTTCTTCTAATTTCTTCCAACTATATTTATTTTCTTCAAATTCTTTCTACCTTTTGACAAATAACTCTAAAAAAATATATTATTATTATAATTATTATTATTATTACAATTTTTTTAATTACAACTTTTATGTTCATAACTATAGTTTATAAATTATTTAATTTTTTCATCTCACTATTTTTATGATTCACATTCATTATTTTTTTCTTTAACTTTTTAATATGAATAATACCAGTTCTATATTTTTATTCAAAAAATAGGGTTACAATGGAAATAAATTGTCAATCCTTAAATAAATATAAGTTTGATTACATTATGTATAAAATATAATTACAAATATATTATTTTATAATAAATACAGCATAGCCATAATAACTCTTAACTATTTAACATTTTGATATTTATGCTAATTTTATATTCTAATTAATTTTTTAAAATATCTTTTTATGTATGAAAAATAATATTCATAATATTTTTTTATTTTAAAGACAATCATTTGGATAACGTGATAATACCACCACTACCACCACCACCACCAACAATAATAATAATAATTATAATAATAATAGTAATAATAATTTATATCAATAAGAATCAGAATGAGAATAATTTAAAACCACACATAAAATTTTTTTAAAAACTTTTTTTAGATTTTACAATTTATTCTAGTTTTTTCAATTTCTTTTAATTTTTTTTTAAATTTTTTTCAGTTTTTCCAGTTTCTTCCAGTTTCTTCCAGTTTCTTCCAGTTTCTTCCAGTTCCTTCCAGTTTCTTCCAGCTTCTTCCAGTTTCTTCCAGTTCCTTCCAGTTTTTTCCAGTTTCTTCCAGTTCCTTCCAGTTTCTTCCAGTTTCCAGTTTTTTTTTTCCAGTCCTAAAGAACAGGCCCTAAATGGACCAAATCTGATTTTATTAATTTTAAATTTGACCTAATATGAATCCAAATTAAGTTGAATCAAATTTAAATATACGAAAGTTAAACCATTAATTGGCTCATTGTTAGATCATGTGTTATCATGAGCTTGATATGGGGTGACCACCGCCATGTACGCACCATGTGATATGTCCCTCCCATCAAGCCCCCATCAATTATGAGGGGGGCTTGACAATCTTTTTTTTTTTACTTTTTTTTTGTACACGACTTTTTCATTTTCAAATTACTATTACAAATATTATAAAATACAAATATTAAAAAATTACTTGATAGTGCTTGCAGCCTCATGATGCCACTCTCTTGGGTAGAAGTTTTATTAGAAATAGACTGCGAGTAATTTAACTAAATAGGACTAAAACATAATGACTTTCTCAATATAGGACTACATGTTTTTATTTCCCAATGTAGGACCATTGGTCACATTATCTACTAGTCATTATATTATTCAACTAAATGTCCAGCGTCACTTAGACATTATTATTCTCACTAGTCATTATGAAATCCTATTTAGAAAATAAAAAAAGTTTAAGTCCTACATTGGGAAATGACTTATGTTTTTGTTATATTCAGCGTAAATTTCACATAGACCGATAGTGTCTCCGTGATCACGCTGTGACGGGCACAGCGAGCGATCAAGTTTCATAACACATGGCCTCATCCTTGCCAAAGAAAGCAAGGGATACTTGGGTTATTGGGTATATAAATGGGACGGGCCGAGAGGGGCATGTTTCTTGTAACTTAAACGAAAACTAATAACTTGACCGAGGCCCATTATATGTGGGCTTTTAAAGGTCTCATAAATTCTAAAGCACCATTAGCCCATTGTGTCCGGTTTAAAGCAAAACTTGGGCCACATTCTAAAAAACAAGCGAGAGTTCGTCCAATAGAAAAATCAAAGTGGAGCTGCCCTCCTTCGCGGCCGCCTTTTCCCCGTACTCCGCCGCTTCAGGTCTCCGGTTTCCCAAGTCTGTCCGGGTGTCCAGTCGCCGCCGTCCTCCGTCCCCGACCTTGGTTCAGTCGGTATCACCTCCGCAGTTCCGCGACTTTGACTCCGTGAGTAGGGTGAGTTGGTCTTCATAATCATTGCTAATTTGTTATGCATAATGTGTTGTTTTTTTCGAGTTTGTTGTTTTCATCTTTTAGTATTTGAACTGCAATTTATCTCCTCAAGTATCTGGTTGATTCGGAATTAGATCTTTGAAATTATTCTTTGACCAATCACAATTGGCAAAACATTTTTTTGTTTGATATTTGATTTTTTATAGAATAATGATTAATGAACTAAGTAAAAAGTATAATTATTACGGAGTAGTTTTTGTTTTGTTTGAAATTATAAAATTTTGGTCTTACATTTCAGAGCATTGAGAACTTGTAGGATCCATTTGTGAATGTAATTTTTCTCGTGTCATTATGAATTGAACCTTAGTGTGTGTGTGTGTGTTATATGCAAATTAGTTTTCAATGAAAATCCCAATCCCCCATGTTACAAGTTTGATGTATTAGTATTATTTTCTTGTATTCGCTTCTGCTGTATAGAAGATGACAGCTTGGTAATATCCTCTTAGTATAATGTTGTCAATATTTCCCCTTTAAGCCAGCAAGGGCTGAATTGAATTTCCATTTTGACCCGAAGGTGAATTGGCCCTTCTGTACACAGCTACACATTCATCTCATCATCTTCAAACCCTTGTCTTAGAAATGGCTTTCATGAAAATGCTGGGAGGCTTTTCTCGTAGCCTTACAACTGTTTCTTCAAGCTCACTACGAGTCTGTATCGTTGGTAGTGGGCCGGCTGGACTTTACACGGCTGATAAAATTCTGAAAGCGCATAAAGGAGCTGAAGTTGATATACTTGACCGGTTACCAACACCGTTTGGGTTAGTTCGATATGGTGTTGCTCCAGATCATCCTGAAACCAAGAATGTGATGAACCAATTTTCTCGGATACTTCAAGACGGACGCTGTTCCTTCTTTGGGAATGTCTCTCTTGGATCGTTGGTATCTTTGTCTGAGCTTCGTGATCTGTATGATGTAGTGGTGCTTTGCTATGGTGCTGAAGGTGAACGAGATCTTGGCATTCCTGGAGAAGATTTGTCAGGGATATATTCTTCCAGAGAGTTTGTCTGGTGGTATAATGGGCATCCCGACTCTAGATTCTTGGCTCCAGACTTGAAGAACACAGACACAGCTGTTATTGTTGGTCAGGGAAATGTATCTCTCGATATGGCCCGCATGCTTTTACGACCTGCAGCTGAGTTGGAAAAAACTGACATTGCTTCACATGCCTTGTCTGCCCTAAAAGAGAGTTCTATCAGAAAAGTTTATGTTGTTGGCAGACGTGGACCAGTGCAAGCATCTTTCACTCCCAAGGAGTTGCGTGAAATTCTTGGTGTCAAGAGTTTGTACATTCGCATTGATGAAGCAGACCTGTGCCCGACCTCGGCTGATGAGGAAGTGCTGAAAAATAATCGGATCAATAGGAGAGTTCATGAGTTGCTCTCTAAGGCAGCTACTTCTACAGCTTCGTTCCCTACTCCTGGTCAACGGGAACTGCAGTTTGTTTTCTTTCGAAAGCCAGATAGGTTTTTAGAATCAGATGTTAGATCTGGTCATGTTGCTGGCGTGCGCTTTGAGCGAACGACTATTAGAGAAGATGTTGGCTCTGGGAAACAGATTGCTGTTGGTACGGGACAGTTTGAGGACATGGGATGCGGGATAGTTTTGAAAAGCATTGGTTATAAATCAATAGGTGTTGAGGGATTACCTTTTGATCACCAGAATGGGATAGTACCAAACGTTAGAGGTCGAGTCTTGCATGATTCTAGTGATCTTGCAGAGGTCGAGAAGGGTCTATATGTATGTGGTTGGTTGAAAAGAGGAGCAACTGGAATCATCGGTACCAATCTATACTGTGCTGAAGAAACTGTTGCTAGCATTTCTGAAGACATCAAGGAAGGAATAGTACCATCTGGCTCTTCGTCAAAGCTGGGGAAGGAGGGCCTTCTTCAACTAGTAGAGAGTAGGAATTCCATAGTCGTCCCATCTGAAGAGAAAAAGAGAGAGGGTGTTTGAAACTTGAAAGTGTAGCCCAGAGAAAAATGATCAGAATTAAAGTTCTTTATTTATTTTGTTTATGTGGAATCAAATTTTCCAGCTTTTGTAGTTGTGTAGTAAGGATATTCGTTTGTATCTGTTTGCTTGTGTTGGCACTGTTTGTATTCCAACTTTTTTGAGTCTCTTTTTATACTAATAGAAATAGATGAGTAAAATAAATTTAAAACAGATAAAAGATAAATTTGTTGAGTATGAACAAATTTCTTCCCTTCACCTTTTCCTATGTTTTCGTCCACATGTTCTTTCCATGGCATTTGCATGATCGTGGTCACTTTTAATTTCTTACACTCTTGAAACTTATTATAAAGGTTTGAAATTTGAAATCCACTTGACTTGTCCACATTTTAAGTACGGAGTATAATTTAGTCTGTTATTTTTCCTCCAAGGGAGCTAATACCACATTTGCTGAAGAGTGAAGGTGATCCCAAATGTTTGGAAGGAGTTCATGTAGAAGTGCCGGTAACTCGAAATACTATGACATTCTCGGTGTTTCAAAGAGTGCCAGCGAAGATGAACTCAAGAAGGCATACAGAAAAGCAGCTATGAAGAATCATCCAGATAAGGGAGGGGATCCTGAGAAGGTGGGACCTTCTCTACATGACATTTGGACTTGAAATATTGGACATTTTTCATCATGCTAATTTTTACCCCCATACAATGTCAGTTCAAGGAGTTGTCTCAAGCTTATGAAGTTCTAAGTGATCCAGAGAAGAGAGAAATTTATGATGAGTATGGTGAAGATGGCCTTAAAGAAGGAATGGGAGGCGGCTGTGGTGCTTCATATAGTCCTTTTGACATCTTAGAGTCATTCTTTGGTGGTGGATCATTCAGTCCTGGTTCACCCTTTGGCGGATCATTTGGAGGTGATTTTTTATTTTTAAATTCTTTTCTTTCTATATTTTTTGTTATGTATTACCCCCTCCGTCGTATAATTATGTCACACTTTGATTGGTCACAAGAATTAAGAAAGTGAAAATTGTGCAGTTGAACTTTGTGCAAGAGAGAAATAATGTGAATCATGTATTCCTTGAAATGAAATTGGACATGATTTTTGGACAGATGAAAAAGAAAATCGAGAACCTAATTCTTGGACAAATGGACTATTGAAAAATACATTTCCTGTTGACATTAATTTTGATTTTAAAAGGTGATAATCTGCTCTGAAGATTATTTGAATGTTTCTGTTTTAATTTGTTGTTTATTTTATTAGAAAATACAGTTCTCTTGATATTAATTTTGATTTTGAAGGTGGTCATATGTCTTTCTTCAACATAGTTTCTGCAATTATTTTTTATAAATTGCATATGAAAATGCAGTTCCTGATGACATTAATTTTGAATTAAAAAGGTAGTAGTGGCTCAAGGGGCAGGAAGGGACAAGGCGAAAATGTTATACAGACACTTAACGTTTCTCTAGAAGAATTGTACAATGGCACAACAAAAAAGCTCTCTCTTTCTCGGAATATATTGTGCCGCAAGTGCAAAGGGTATATTTGCCCTTATATCGTTGTTTTTTCTATTTAAATGTATTGTGCATACACTAACTAAAACCCTAAATTTTACTTTTTGGGTTATCCATATCCTATCCCCAAAACCTCATTCTCAACAAGCATTCTGAATGTTATCAGTAAAGGATCAAAGAGTGGAGCATCTCGAAGATGTAACGGGTGTCGGGGGAGTGGAATGAAGGTTACATGCCAACAAATTGCACATGGCATGATGCAGCAGATGCAACATGTCTGCCCCACTTGCCGAGGCTCAGGGGAAGTCATAAGCGAAAGAGATAAATGCAAGCGGTGCAAAGGGAAAAAGGTTACCCAAGAAAAGAAAGTGCTCGAAGTTCACGTTGACAAGGGCATGCAAAACGGTCAAAAGATTGTGTTTTCTGGGGAAGCCAATGAAGCTGTAAGTTTCACTTTGCTCATCTGTATGATCTTGTGACCAAAGCTTTGCAATTCTTGCCATTTCCATTGTTTTAGGCACTAGGATCTCCTTGACCCCAAAGTGACTGTTTGACAACAAGTTTTAGCATTTAGCTTTTAGCCTTTTGAAAAGGCTAACTAATGGGAGCATTTAGCTTTAGCGTTTTCAAAGTTCATTTGCACCATTTGAAAATGATCCAGAACTCTACTTCTAATTGAAGATGTTGTTCCCAAACAAGGCCTAAGTCTGTTTCCCCCACATACGCTCCATTTGATTCTCTGAAAATAATTTATTTAGTTTTTTTGGGGTTTCTTATTTCTTCTATGGGATATTGCAGCCGGATTCCCCTCCAGGGGATATTGTTGTTATCCTACAGCAGAAGGAACATCCCAAGTTCACAAGAAAGTTTGATGATCTCTATATGGAGCACACCCTCAGCTTAACAGAAGCTCTTTGTGGTTTCCAGTTTGTCCTCACTCATCTTGATGGCAGGCAGCTCCTAATCAAATCAGATCCCGGAGAGGTTATTAAGCCCGGTAAATACCTATAATCTCATACCTTCCATATCATGACTATTATGTCATTCCCACTAACTGTCCTCACCTTCTACTTTCTTCGCTTTTATTGTGTGACTATGGATTTCCCACCACTTTTGGTCCTACTTTCAGTTTAAATGCCATGAAATCCGTTGTCGTGCACCAAAATGGAAGACATGAAAGTAGTCGCGTCTATTAACTAAATAATTTTGCATGTGCAGACCAATCCAAGGCAATAAATGACGAAGGAATGCCGCAGTACGAAAGGCCATTCATGAAGGGCCGCTTGTATATCAACTTTGAAGTGGAATTTCCCAACCCGGGGGTTCTCTCCCCCGAGGCATGCCGTGCTCTAGAGACGATTTTACCCCCAGACGGGCCCCCGTCAGATACCCTCAACTTGGATGAGTGCGAGGAAACCACCCTCTACGATGTCAACATCGAGGAGGAAATGATGGGTAAAGAGAGAGTGAGGCATCATGAGGCTTATGATTCTGATGATGATGATGATGACGATGATGCTTATTATTACTGTGAGGAGGATGATGATGATGGCGACGACTATGATGATGACTCATCAGACTCGCACCGTGTCGCCTGCAATCAGCAGTAAGATTTGGGCATAGGGGTGAATGTATGTACTCCTATTACTTGGAAGTTATCTAATTCAGAAGTTTTTTTTGTTTCACTGATCTGTACATTTCATTGCCTGAATTGCCATTTTTACCCTTAACATATGGAATTATCCAAGTAATGTAGCCTAATCTAATACGTAATGTCATTTTAGTCCAAATGATCTTCTAGAAGTCTAGCTCAGGCTTTTTGTTGTGTTGTGAGTTTGTTTGGGCTGACTTTTAAAACATATAAGAACACTTATTCAAATGCAATGTGTCCTTTTGTTGGATTGGAAACCATTAATTTATATTCATATATTATATGGAATAGGTTCAAAAGCAGTATTTTCAATAACTTACAAAAAATACTAAATTGTGTTTAGTGTGTATTTTTGGAGAATGCCAACCATTTTTCCACATAAAACGTGCCGTGCGCTAACATTGATAAATAAAGTACTTTCTGCAAATAATAAAATTTAAATAAACGTAGACACGCATTATGTCTACATTCGTTTAATTCTTAACATATTATAAAATTATAGTGAACCGTTAATTACAAACATATTGTGTCATAAAGTCTACCCAAAATATGTGTCAATCTTAGAACTTGTGTAGCTAACTTTTAACATATGTAGAAAATGAGAGCAACTTAATGCCAGCAAAGTGTGCAAACATCAACATGGAAGAAACTGGTTTTGATTTAATGTCAACAAATTACATTAACTGATGATCACATTCCCCACAAAAAAAAAAGAATAACTAATCATATAATAAAAGATTGAAACAAAAGAAAACGGGAAAGCAATACAAATTATGCCCAACATGGGTTCCCAGAAAAGAAGAAAACTTGACTGTCACATAAAAACCCTATCAGGTATCCTCAACTCGAGAGTGAAAGACAAAGCTTGGAAACGTTGTTGTGATGTCCCTGTGTGAAGTGAGAACAACGTTTAGCGCTGACGAATTTAGTAAATGCAATACGAGTTCACAAGGGTAAGAGTGTAAATTCATAGCCAGACATACTTGAGGTATTGAAGTGTCATATTCTTCAGAAGCGACGGGTGGCGTAAGACAAGATTCCTCCATTCCTCCTTATCAATCTTCCCGTCATGTTTCGTATCCGCTTCTTCAAAGGTCTGCATAAAACAACTCAAGTATAAAATACATTGATCGGGATAAAAATATTTGGGGGCAGACAAGAAAAGTAGTATAAAAATGGGAATATTATTCATCCCGGTAAATATAGGTTTTTTAAATCCTATGAAATCACTTTTTTGTTATTCTTCTGTGAAGAAAGAAACATAGGTGTCTAGGGGTGGAGAAACACCTTATCTATGATACTCTCGATTACGTCATCTGAAAGGTTCATACCAGATTCAGCAAGGGTAGCAACCACCATTTGTTTCACCTATCAGAAGCCAAATGTAATCAACAAAGCATTTCCTGAAGGACAAGCTTGAAGCTTCCTAAGTATATATGTAGAGCAATAAAGGGCCAGTTTGGTAAGGGTGTTGCAATTGTTTAATTGTCTAAAATGAAGAGTGTTTGGTAAGTATCGATTTCATCCATACAAGTCAAAAACCAAACATGGCCTATTTACTCTTGAGTTCATTAGTGGTGATTGAATAAGATGACAGAGCTAAGACTCATTTACTGACAGAAAAAATGGTACTAAAGACGGTACGGCCTTAGCAAATCTCTTCTTTGTGTAAAAGATAAAAGAGCTTATTTTTGGAATAGAAGAAAATAACCTCTTGTCTCTCAATGTAGCCTTGTTGCTTGAGATCATATAATTGAAAAGAAACTGCAAAATGAAGAAACAGTGCACATTAACATGGCTATGAACCTTGGATACCAAATACACCCTCCGTCCCTAAATAAAAAAAACCTAGTTTGACTCTGCGGAGTTTAAAAAATAGCGTTGTTGAATAGTGAAAAGTATGGATATAATTAGTTTGGAGGAGAGAAATGATGCAAGCCACTTATTTTTTTCCTTTAATGAAAAGAAAAGTGGGAAGTTTATTTTAAGACGAACGAAAAGGAAAGTGAGAATTTTATTCAAGGACTGAGGGAGTACAAAGGAAGCATCTATACTCACACTCAATCTTATCATCAATAGGGGCATTTGGATGAAAAACAGATAAAGCACGGGCAAATTCCTCAAACCCAAGAATTCCAATATGCTTTGTGTCAAATAAGTCAAACACCTGGATCATGGAAGAATACCACAAATATGAGAAGTCATTTATTGATTCCTCTAAAATATTGCCAACAAAAAATGGATCTTAAGATTTTAATATTTGATTCAAACAATAATTGCAAATATTTTAATATTTGCTTCTGTGGACCTTCTCACAATTTTAATGGGCTTACAAGTGGATCTTTTCTTTTTTTACCAAAGCCCTAATTCTTTCATAGTGTTAATGTACAGGTCCATAAAATGAGTGTAAACCTTAGAACCACATAAGAATTTGCCTAAAACAATATTTTAATATTTGCATCAAAGATCAATATGTACCCGATCAGCAAACAGGCTTTCCTTTTTGTTTGTCTTGAATAGGGCCAATTGGAATTCTTCCTGCCATGCAGTACAAATAACAATAAGTACACTCACACATACATCAATTACAATAATTTAATTGATGTATGTATCATTCTGAGCCATGATAGAGCTAAACCTTGTTGATCAGCCCATCATCAATTACAGCACTGCTTATCTTCTTAAACAGTTCATAGAGTGCTTCAATTTCACTTACACTAACTGCATTAGTAAAAGGAGAGAATATTGAATAATGAGTGGTCATGTTGATGTATGCAAACATATAACTAAGTAACCGTGATTAAACTCACACAGTAGAAAAACATTTGTGCAAAAAAGTGAAAATATTGTTATTGGCATTGTAATAATGCAATATTAAAACACAAATTTAAACATTAAAGAAAAACAATACAAAATAAAGTCTGCACATCCAAATAAATTAAAAGTTGTCGTAAGCAGTAGTTAAGCATGTGTCAATGAGACAGTATGAAGTTTAATTTAATGGCAGTCATTTCAAAAAGCAATGTTTTCAACGAAAAAAATCAATGATACTATAAGAGTCACATACACACGGTCTCTCGTGCAAGGATTTCAGGATCATCAAGACCCCTTGTTTGCCGATACAAATCAAGATCACAACATCGCGACAACGAAGCACCCAAATTCTTGATTCCCTCTAAGCACTGCAACATGGTAACTCCTGCACATCAAAATGCTCCATACCTTTTCAAAGCAAACAGAATAGTGGGAAATAAATATAGAATAAAATGAAAATTAGAAAATACGGAGTATGGACAGGGAATATTTAAGTAACCTCTTGACCATTCTCTAATTCTGCTACTCTGAACACAAAAGGCTGAACCTTGTGGAGCAAGACTATTTAGAGCAATATATCTCTATTCAAATTAATCTGAAATGCGAATTAAAGAATGTTTTCATTCACCCAAACAGAGTACTCAAAATAAATATTTTAATATAAGATTCCTAAATATATAATAAATGGACGAAATATGTGGTGCCAATGGACAAGAACTGATAGGATCACGATATCACACGCCATTCAAACCAACACATATCCAGTACTGAAAATGCCATAAATCACAGATTAAAGGCTTAATTGATACGATAAATAAACAAATAAAAAATGGAAACAAAAAAAACTACCATTCAATTGCCACTGCAAAAAAACACGAATACGAAGTGCCTTCCTATGAATGTATGAAGCAACATTGAGTGTCAAGACTGAAAATTTGCAATGCATCCGATACAATCGACAGTTCTACACTAACTTTAAGATTTTTTTTTGCACTAACTTTAAGACTTGATACAGCCAAAATATTCCAAATTGGGGCTATTAAAAGATTTCATAGCCCCAATGAACTCTTCTAAATGACCTAGAATCAGAAATTACTTCAATTTTATTTTGCTCAATGCCCAACTTAAAATCCTTCATAGACATCTATCAGTGTTCGCAAGTCAAAAAATATCAGAACAATTCAACCCTGAAGCACAAAAAAAGGCCAAACCTGGAGAGAAATTGATCGGGGAAGACGATTCGGGCAAGAACACGACGTCGAAGGGCTCGGGCGCGGCCGGGTTAGGCGGTGCAGGGGCGACGGGTACGGAGGAACGCGACGGAGGCGAACAAGGGAGACGCGGTTGTGAGGAAGAAAGATTACTCAGATCTGTTTGAAACTGTTTTGTCAGATACTTCTCGGACTAATAATTCTCAAAACTGCGATTCCTAATCCTAATGTGTTTTGTTGGAGTGTTTCTATTTCACAAATTCTTTTTTGTGGATTTTTTCAAGTAAATTTTTTCATTTTTATTTTTCTTATAAATAAATACTTCACGAAAGAGTTCCAAATTAATCAATTTGCACACCCATTATTTTATAATTAAAAAATTTATTTGATTTGTTTTTTGTTTGATTAAAGAAAATACTATTACAACATTTTATTTTATTGAATTTTTCATTTATTTTTTAAATATATAAATGTTGCTTTTAAATTTAATCTTAATTTTAATATAAAATTAAATTGAAAATAAATTTAATCACCCATTTTAATCCACAACGTCCATATTAATTGGATATTCAATAAACTCCGTATTTATTAACTTGAACATTTATCTATATAGTACTAAAAAATAGTTTTAAAATACAATTAGACCCGATCAGGGTCTGGGTATCTAGTCCGCCCGCAGAATAACAAGCTTGAGAGTTGAGATTGAAATTTTAGAATACGAGTTGAGCTCGGGCTTTATAAATGACGGCCCGCATACTTTAGGATTGGGCTCAAGTTTTATGCTCAAACCCACGGGCCGGTCCAACCCGATTGATTGATAATATTAATTATTACTATAATTATAAAAAATAATAACAATATTAATATTAATAATAAAATAATAATAATAATAATAATAACACTATTTCAAATTATTATAAATACACATATATACTTCAATGGAGAAAAAAGAGAGAATTATAATTATATTTAATAAAATGAAAGCACTACTCAAAAAATATAGTAATGATTTTGAGTACATCTTTATTGCTCCGTATCACAAATGATAATGATATTCAAACAAATCTTCATTAGCTTATTCGTATATAATACGCGTTGTATACACTCGTACGTATAATACACGTATTATACTCTCATATACACATTTTTCATGTGACAAACGTATTATACACACATTTTGACCCAAGCGTATTTACAAATTTTATACGTATGAAATTGCAAAAGTCATCTTATATCGACTCCAACAATTAAAATTTAGAAAGTCAAATTTTGGATCAGATCAACTTACTTGATTGTTTCGTCCCAAAAATATAAATCTTTAAAATTTGGTGACTCAGCAGTCATAATAGTATTAGAAGCCGGATCACAACTCGAATCATCCACCAACATCCTTTGTAAATTAATACATGATCTACCAATGTCTTCGACTCCATCCGGAGGGGAGTTCAACACTCCAACCGTTATAGTGAATAGTATACAATATTTTCAGTATTTGTTTAGATTTTTACAATGTCATCAATTTTTTGTATTTTGTTCAACACTCCAACCGCTCTAGGTTCGTTACTGTATTTTTCATTTCAAAAAATGAAAAATATAAAGCTAATTTCATTTTAGTCAATTTTAAATTGCTTGAAAGATTATTTAGTGAGTTAATATTTATACAACAAATACACTTAGCTTGAACCTTCCTTTAAAATTCACAATGAGCGTTTAATCAATTTTATAAAATTTAAGTTACCTAATAATATAATTTTTTTCATATCTCAAGTGTTCCATTTGTGTCTAAATATTAGTTTATTTTTAAGAACATGTTCTTACTTTGATTACTCCATAGTATATTTTTCGGTAGTACACAATGATAGTTAGATTGAAAGATCTATGATCTTTTAGATAGACATGAAAAAAATGAATAAGCAATGAATCGTAGTGCTGGTTGAATTTTTATAAATAAATTTATATTTATAGAATGTCAAAAAAATAGAATGTATATAATATTAAATATTTATATACATATAAATATGTGATATATAAATATTTTTATATATGTGCTATATAAATATTTTTTAACTCAAAATCATTTTTTTAAATAAAAATTATAATTTAAATGTTAATGCACATGCACTAAAAATTCTACAAGTATTATTTTACTTAAAAGTAGTAAAAGGGAAATGGTCAATTATTTTGAAAATATCGATAAAGTTTCAAAATTATTTTGTAGATATAATATAATTATGTAAACAAAATATGTTTCAAACTCGTGGAATATATATTGGTATGTTAATTTAAAAATAAAAATTTTTATGCAAAACTAATTAATGGTAATTGAATAAAGTACAAATAAAAATAGCTTTAATTAAAATAAATAATTAAATAATCATACATTGAGAATGTATATGTGGCATAACGTCACTTGTCATTCTTCAAGTAACCAACTTTGTTCTATTGATTTTGTTGAAAAATATGCGTAGTAATAAAATAAACAATGTACTAAGATTAAAGTTTTGAAATAAAGTATTTAATTAATAAATGTTCATATGTGATTAAAATTATATAATCATTTTTGAAAAGTAAAAAAATAAATTAAATAGTGGATAATGTAAAAATAATATAATATATATAAAATGATTTTTTTGATTGATAAAGTTTATAGAACTTTTTAAAAAGTAAATAAAATATAATTCTGAATATTAAAAACATGTTTCGTATTCATAATAAAAAAATAAATATTTGAAAATTATTTAAAATGCAAAAAAGTATATAAAAATATTGGTTATTTATTGTTTAAAAGTGAAAGGTTGCACTATAATTTAAGAAAAATAGTGGTTATTTGACTTTAGAAAGTAAAGGATTCTATATATATATATATATATATATATATATATATATATATATATATATATATATATATATATATATATATATATATATATATATTAGCGTATATTATGTATATATTATTGTATGTATATTAATATTGTGGGCCTATCGTGTTGGGCTTGTAACTTGTATTTATATCCTTCGGTATCTACGAAACAATCAAGTCATTCAGTTCACAAAATTCTACATGGTATCAAAGCCAAACCTGGGATATCACCTTAAAACCCTAGGTTTACCGCTGCAAGTCCGTCTGCGCTGGTTATCCTCGCCGGAGCGCTATCAGTCCCTCGCCGGTGAACCGTCTCGCGTCGCTGTCGAGTCCCCTGTCTCGCCGGTGAATCCCCTGTTCGACCGTCCCTTTTCCGGTCTTCTGCGAAAAAGAATCGTCGCCATCCAATTGCCGCAACAACTTGTCCAAAGTGCTCTGTCAGTCCAATTGCCGTCCGTCCCTATTGCCGCAGCAAGTTTGGATTTGTTTGGTGTGAAAAAAAAAACTTTAGCATAAAACTACCAAGATGACTACAACCTCGTGTGATTGGTTGATTGATAGCGGTGCTTCTCATCATATGACGGGTACTCTGTCTCACATGTTCAATATTGAGGATGTTTTCTCTAATCCTATTTGTCTTCCCGATGGCTCCCGGATTCAGGCTACTAAAAAGGGAAGTGTCCGTGTGACCTCTAGTCTGGTTCTCCATCATGTGTTTTACATCCCCACGTTGCATTGTCATTTGATTTCTGTCGGGTGTTTGATTCGGGACACCACCTGTTATGTTACTTTTAATGATTTTGGTTGTGTAATACAGGACTGTTCGTCAAAGATGGTGATTGGACATGGTGAAAAGCGAAACGGAGTATACATCCTGGTTTCTTCCTCTGCGTCAGCTAATTTGGCTAACGTGGATCCTTTGCTACTTCATCAACGTTTGGGTCATCCTTCCTCAGATATTATTTCCCTTTTAAAGTCCAATAAGTCAGGTTTTGTTATCAAGAAACTTCAAGCTTGTGAGATTTGTTTTTTGTCTAAACAAACTCGTTCTTCCTTTCCTGTCAGTCATAATAAAGCTGAAACAATCTTTGATTTAATTCATTGTGATTTATGGGGTCCTTATTCCCCGTGTTTGTCATCTGGTGCTCATTATTTTCTTACCATTGTCGATGATTTTTCTCGTGCTGTTTGGGTATATCTTATTCGTGCTAAAAGTGAGGTAACATCGTGTCTTAAACGGTTTTTTACCATGATTCACACTCAATTCTCTAAAATCATCAAAGTAGTCCGGTCTGATAATGACACCGAATTTCTCAATGCCCCTTTGCGTCAATATTATGATTCCATGAGTGTTTGTATCCAAACGTCGTGTGTTGGTACCCCTCAGCAAAATGGTCGAGTAGAACGAAAGCACCGTCACATTCTCAACGTTGCTCGTTCTCTCATGTTTCAAGCGTCTCTTCCAGTTAAATTTTGGGGGGAATGTGTCAAAATTGCTGTTTATTTAATTAATCGCACACCGACAAAACTCTTGGGTGGGAAATCTCCTCTTGAAGTACTTTCGTCTAAACCACAAGATTTGAGTCATCTCCGGGTTTTTGGTTGTCTCTGTTTTGTCCGTCAAACACCTAAACCCCTAAACAAATTTTCTCCCCGTAGCGTGAAATGCATGTTTATTGGGTATCCCTACGGAACAAAGGGGTGGCGGGTGTATAACTTGGACACTCACCAATTTTTTCACGCTAGGGATGTCGTGTTCGACGAATCACAATTCCCGTTCTTTGTCCCGAACACTACCAGTCCCGTCCAACCCATATTAAACCCTGCCGACGTCGATTTTCCCGTCGTCTCTCAGCCGGCTACCTCCCTCGGCGACACCACCACCGAGCAGCCTAGCCCGCCACCGTCCCCAACTCCGTCCACCGTCCCTGTCCCGTCAACCGAACAGCCACCTCTTCCCGTCACTGTCCAGTCCACGGGCGAGGCCATCTCGTCCGTCCCGTCTCCATCTCCTTTACCTCCTCGCACCCGTCGCCTCCCCTCCCACCTCAATGATTATGTCCTCAATTCTGTGTCTACCGTCACTCCGTCTCCCTCTTCACGTGGCTCCGTCTCATCCGGTACACGGTTCCCGATTACTAACTATGTTCATTATGATAAGTTGCATAATAGGTACAAGGGCTTTCTTGGTGCTATTGATGCTTCTCCGGTTCCTACATCATATAGGGAAGCTGTCAGATATGCTTCTTGGAGGGAAGCTATGGCACAAGAATTTACTGCGTTGGAGCGCAACCATACTTGGGAGATTACTGTTCTTCCTCCTAATCGGCAGGCCCTTGGTTGTCAG